TTTATTCATATGGAACTGGGGTACAGGCCAGAGATGCGGAGGGTGAGAGGACTCACCAGAGACAGAGTGGGGAGCAGAACAGGCAGATTGAGGGAGTACACTCCTGAGGGGAGCAGCGGGCGGGTCAGGAGAGGTCTCCCACGCCATGTGGATCTCCTTGGGGCAGGCGGGATTGAATTTATGCGGAAGCGATTTTAGCTTCTCGGTGCTGTGCTTTAACCCGCTGCGCCACCAAGGAGGGCCCAGTAGCTGTATGTCTTGAAGAAAAAAAAAAAAAAAAAGCATCCCATCTTGAAATAAATACATTAATTAAATCTGGATACCTGTCCTCCAATGTCTGGCTCTCAGCAATGTCTAACTGCCCCCAGGGGGGCAGCCATGGGGCTGTGTCTGGTGAGAGCAGAGGTGTGTCGGCAGAACTGAAATCGTGGACTGGGCTCTGCTTTGTGTTTGATCTGAGCTTCGTTTTAGCCTCCGTGGGTACTCACACTGTCACCAATGAAATGTCTAAGAGGCCTGTCCTGGGGGCAGTTCAGAAACTCAGACCTGAAGATCAGCCTGCCAGGCGGAAGTCTGGTGTCCACGAAAGGTAGGTGCGGCTTTCAAACACCCCTGAAGAAAGCTACTGCCTGATAGCCTCGCAGGACACCAGAGCCTGTGCAGATGTGAAAATATTGACGTACTTGATGTGTAACTGAATTATATCACCTTGGTGTGGTATCTCTGGGCCTCTCTCATTGCACAGAATTTCTAGTTGGCAAGTAGGTAGGGCTTTGATTAATATAAAAGTTAATGTAATTACATTAGTATAATTAATGCAAAATTAATGTAATGTACATTAATGTATTCCAATATTGCATGAGTGTGACCTGCTGGTCAGATAGAAAACCTTCAAATGAGGAAGTTCATAACAAAATGCTCCAAATCAGTAGAAAGAGTGCATAGTGGGGAAATGTTGTGTATCATTGCCCTGATGTTTCCCCTTTTTTTTTTTTAGTTTAGAGGTATGTGACAGAATCTAGCTCTGGGAATTGAGAGACAGGAGGGTTTATAGGGAATGTGTCGATCTTTGCCTCATCTTTCTTTTGCCCATCTGTGGCTATAACATGTCATCCTGGTATTTATTTTATCCAACCAAGTGCCATGACTACAATCACAGAAATCTTATAGTGGACAGAAGTCAGTGTATAAAAGTCTTCCCAGAATGAGGGCCCTCCCTGGTGGCGCAGTGAGTTAAAGCACAGCACTAAGAATATAAAGCCACTTCAGCATGAGTTCGATCCCAACCCCGGGATGACCGCATGGCTCAGCAGACTGCTCCCCTCAGTAGTGCACTTCATCATTCAGCCTGTTCTGCTCCCCACTATGTCTCTGGTGAGTCCTCTCATGGCCCCTGCACCTCTGGCCTGTACCCCAGTTCTTTATGTGTAAATAAATAAATCTTTGAAAGAAAAAAGTCTTCCCAGAATGAAATATTGTATGTCAGTTTGACCTATGACCCTCTACTTGTAAGAACAGCATGGGAACAGGAGAGGAAATGTGAGAGGTAAAGATGTAGCTCTCTTTGTTAGATTTTAGCCTACAAAGGAAGGAAATTTCCCTGTTGTAATTGAGTCTATTAAGTTCCTGTATTAATTGAGCAGGTTACCTGCTTCTACTCTAGTTGCATCTAACTTGGAAATTAAGAGCAGGATCCTGAGCCAGGCAACTTGGATTCAAACCCCAATGCATTGCTTATTAGCTACCTAATGTTAGGGGCATTCTTTAGCCATTCTGCTTATTGTCCTAATTAGAGAACAGAGATAATTGAGCATATCTCTCCAGACCCTTGTGAGACCTGTGCTTCATACTTAGGAAACATTGCAGTGTTTGCATTCATTAGAATGTTAAACACTGATTCCAAAATTACCCTATTGATCTGAAGTTACTTAAATTAAACCCTTGTTTCTAAATTTAGGTAATATGTCATGGTCAAGAACAAATGACATGGTTAGAGCATGGCCAAATGGCATCTTGCTGTGGTAGGAAAGTGCTGTGACTTTAAATTATGCCTATTACTTACAAAGTTGTGACCAAGAGCAGGTTACTTGTCACTCCTATTTATAAAATATGCACTAAAAATTGTGCCTAGCACAAAGGTCTCAGAGTAATAATTATGGAGTTGAAGGTTGTAATAGAAATTTATCCATATCTAACCTCTCAACAGGGAAATAAAATTAGAGATGATTGTCAGTGCTGTTGTGTTGGTATCTGCTACCTCCAAAGGAGAGCTCCTTATAACAAATGCAAATGCTATCAGAGACTGCATGTATGAGGCATTAACTCCCCCATACAACTTCGGGAGGCAATTTTACAGATGAGGAAATTATGGCATTGAGGTCAAGTAGCAGGCCTGAATATACACAAATATTAACACCAATGCCAGCATTCTGGGTACAGATGTTCAGTCTGGGTGCTTAACCCTCCACCATGCTGCTGACTATTGACTGAAGCTCTCGTAGAGACGTGTTGAGGAGCAAGACATGGTGCTCATAGCACACAAGTAGAAGCTGAGCACTGAGTGCCCATCATGGTAGAATTTATAAAATCCCCATGGGATTTCCCAAATCAAGTGAGTCTGAATCTGGTGACCTTTAAAAGACAAATAATCTAGATACCTTCATTTGGCTATGCCACAGCCAGTTTAAAAAAAAAAAAAACAAAACATTAAAACTCCATCAAAATCACTATTGGTGTGAAAGACTTTGAATATAGTTTGACTACTGTTGTAGCAAATGCTGAAACCACTATTGCATCATGTTGTCATGGTGTTTCTTGCTTTGGAATCTCAATTAAATTTTATCAAATAAAAGTACATATAGACAAAAGTGAAATTTTGATTTTTTTATTTGTTGTGTTTTTTATGCAGAGCAAAATACAGAATTCACATAGCAGAGATGGTGAGTTCAGGATATATAAAATGAAAATGTCCAAGGCAATTATCTAGTTATAGGGCACTAAGGGAGTGGCTGGAAGTTGCTACAGGATAATTGGGTCAACAGGAACCAATTATGGAGATTACAGAGACAGTGGTATTAGACAAGTTCCTCTGGGGATACTTCTTGGCCCTGCCCCTGACTAATGGCAGAATTTCATGTTGCAGAGGAAAGTTTTATGTTCCCCCATTGTTTGAAAACCCATTACACAATAATAATATAATAGTAAAATATACATGAAAACTAAAGTAATCCAAACCTAGGGAAAAAATAAAACAACAACACAGAAACTCAGCAGACAATTTTAGGAAAAACAATTATAACAGAACTTGTTGTCCTTGTGCCACCATCTGTTAGAAACAGTTTCCATTGCCACAGACTCCTGTTCTCCTGAATACACTGACGGTGATGATGGCAGAATAGATCATGCTCTTGACAAACAGGAAAAGGTAGGTATAATAAGCAGAGGTGTGGATGAACTGCAGCTGCATTGTACCTAAGAAAAATCCTTTGATTAGTTTCTTTTTAACAATAGGATACATTAATGGGAGGAGGGTCACAATTATATATTTCTGATAGCTAATAATGAAATGACTTTCCCGTACCACCAAAACCCAAAGTAAACATCCACAGTCAATTCGACCACAAAAGACAAGAGAAACAGCAACAGAATCCAGCATCAGGTCAAGTCAAACAGCAAACTTTGCTATATTCATGTAGAACATTCCAAAGTATTAAATAGTAATGCTGTATGTACAATGAATACATTCAAAGAGAAAAAAATTGTGATGACTAACATTTAGCATTTTTCTCCCAGATCATTTATCTAAGTAAACACTAGCTACATGCCACTCATTCTATAGGACTGCATACAAATATTTAATTTATATTTTACCATAACCTGTGTCATTATTTTCATTCCCATTTGCAAATAAGATCATCAGAGAGGGAAGTAATTTGCATGATGTGGTGCATTTAGTACCAGAAACCAGATTTCAACTTCAGCGACATAACTATAAAAATACTTTGTTAGCTACAGTGTAACCATCTCCAAATGCAGTATACATCCAGATGTCAAAATAGCACAGACATAAATTTGAATTGTTGATTTACAAGTATCTGAGTCATTTTGCATGCATTGATCTTCTTAGGAAGGGTTATAAGTCATGGGAGTTTGGTGGGTTTCACAAGTGTGGGAAGTGAGGTATAAACACTAAGGCAGAAGAAAGTAGTTAATGTAAATTATTTAAAACTAAGAGGTCACACCTGACTCACTGGTTTTTCTTAAATATCTCTCACTGTGGCTATGATGTGGTAGGATATTCTTTCAAGTTTTGCAAGAAATTTATGATGTCAAAAAATAGTTAGTGATGATGATGGTGGTATGTTGGGGACCCCTAAGGCATGAGGTGCTGGGACAAGAAGAATGTTAGGGCTGCGACTGGAAAACTGGTCAACACAGGCTGGAAGACTGGTCTGTGTCCCCCAACGTCCTTCTTGAGACAGCACAGCTACGCCTGAGAAACAGGCAAGATGAGAAAGGGAGTAGAGTACACCTGATAAGGCCAAGCCTTGGTGGTGAGTGTGTGCCAGGACAGGTTAGATGCTAACAGAGCGACTTATTGCCTAGTAACTAATAAAGAGGGTAGAAGGTGGTTTATATCAATAACAATGAGTTGCATCAGGGCACTAGGGACCACCTTCGCACGGAATGAGAAGCCTAGGGTCCCTTGCTTCTCTTAAACTCTGTTTTGTGTCTGTCATTCTTTATTTTCAGTTTCTTTCGGTGCCTCTCCTCAACCGTGTTCACCAGAGCTGGTCTCTGGCAGTGGTTGCTAAGACTGCTTGACCTGATGGAAGGGTTAGACATTGCTTGTGGATTTTTCCCTTTCACATGCTTTATCTGGATAGAGTCAGAATTTCAGAATCGTTAGTACTTAGTACTTAGTATGGAAAGACCACAAGATTCGATGTGCTCAAAAACCCCTACCCTTGATCTTTTAGCAGAGATCCAGAGCCCCTTTGATAATGAAAAACAAAACAAAACAAAACTCTGAAGCCAATGTTTTTAATCATTTTCTTGGTATATATGTAGAAGAAAGGGCCTAGAAACTAGCATAGCCTCAATAAATGAGTTTGGTACAAAATCTCCAATAGGCAACGGAGGAATGTATTGCTCAGAAGATTTAAGTTGTTCACACACACTCATGCACTGAATAATCAGAACGACTAGATTTTAAGTTTAGTCTGTGTACTCTGAAGCCCATGTACACTGCCCTCCCCCTCTCCCTCAGCTCCTGCACTCTTCTGCCCATATATCCATTATGTCTCAGGGCCTAGACTTTGAGATTTCTTGACCTATAACTATATCTTGGTGGAAGAACTGAGAAATATATGAATGAGATCTTGATCAGATGCCTTGAGTTTAAAACCCAATAGCTAGTTGACATGGTACAACAAACTTATTTTTACCTTATTGTTTTTATCTGTACAATAGAAGAAACATATTGAGAGGATTATGAGAATTCTAAAAGAAAATATATGTGAAACATAGTACAATAATGTGCAAAAGAAGCTCCCTGTAAGTACTGGTTCATGCCACTAGTTATTAGCAACTAGCAAGGACCAAAAACTTCAAAATAATAGAAGCAAGTTGCTATCATGTTTTCCCCAGATGTAGAAACAAAAGTAGCACAAATGAATTAAGTCCTTTGTTGACACATTTCAGAACATATGACTGAATTCTATGGTTAAGCATCTCATACCCACACCAGCACTTACTGTTTAAGATGTCACCTAATAAATGATGGCTGAGTTTAAAATATCACTCATTCTATTATGCAACATCTATCCACTTTTTTTACGTTGTAAACAGAGAAGTTAAGCTGATCAGGAGAAAAAAATTGCATTTGCACTATAGCATGACATGCATGCAAACCTGCGCAAAAACTTACCATTGCTATCTTCCAGACTAAACTTTGTAGTATCACTGTGAGGATCTAGAAGGAATAAGAGCAAGTGTTAACTATTTATGTCCATTACTTGGCAGCGTATATCTATGTGAGCATTTAAATAGATAGTTAGATAGATAGATAGATAGAGTGGATACATACATACATGGACAAATGATATGCCAACATATAGAAGAGAGCTATAAAAACATAGCCCTGCCATTTCAGAAATACAAGGTATGATTTCATGTAATTCAATAACTTCAGCTCATACATTCTGTTTCTCAACAAGAATTTATGATGCATATATTATTTTCCATTTTTCTCACAACTGGAGTATAATACTCAACATCATCTTGTTTTCCTTTAATAGTCAAACAATGCATGCCACAAAGTAGGTGTTAAATAAGTATTTTATATAATGGAAAAGAAAAACGTGGACTGACTCTTGACATTCTCTAGTACACACTGCTGTCTGACATGAACGTTGCAATAGAAATGAATTAGTCTAAACATAGCTCCTACAACAGGATCTTAGCATTTTTGAAAAAGGGTGGTTTAGGCAAATTTCCCATGTAAGCAAAGGAAAGCAAATAACTTTCCAAATTGCATGTATCCAACTGTATCCACCATATCAACAACTCTGCACTGGATTTTCTGGAGTTGTGTTTATCAACATGACAACAACATTTTGCAAAATTAATGCTTATTTGATTCAATGTTGCACATACATCATCTCAATCCCTCTGTAACACTGAAATGAGTTATATTTTCAAGAGTTACATGTTACAAAAAAGAAATAGGTTTACAGAGTATAAGTTAATTGCAATTGCCAAGAATTATGCAGTGATTGGCAGAGCTAAATTTCAAATGATCATTGTGGGTGATTAAATGTGAAGGGAATTAAAAATAATCCATAGAAATAAAAAATTATCTATTGAGAGACACCATAGTTTCACTATAATTCCTATAGAGATCTTATTAGCAAGTGACCTTTTTATATTATAGAAGCTTATCATTTAACACAATCCTTTCCAGGAGTAGAAAAATTAGTCATGTCACAGTTATAGTTTTTTAGAGAAATAAAAACTGAATTGGCAATTGCATTTGCCTATAATGAAAAAAAAAAA